GGGGGGGGGGGGGGGGGGTGTTGTTGTATGTGAGTGTGGTTCTCTACTTACTTCTGTATGCTTTGAGAGCCTTTCTTGGGCTATTGCCAACCATATCATTCTTTTTCCTTTCTTGTCTATTCCTTTTTCTTTCTTTCTTTAATCTACTGAATCTTTTCTATCAGTTTAAGAGGGATCATTTCTTTGAATTCTTCATAATCATCAGTCTCTATACATGGCTACTGAAACTGTTACATCAGATCATCCTATACCTGCCTCTGAGGTAAGCTTCTATGATTTTTTCTCTTCAGTTGCTAATGAATTTTACCAGATATATTTGTTTTTTGTATCTTGTTTTGAATGGATATATATGTTGACAGCTTTCAAGTACTTTATTTTTGGTGGTTTGGACATAGATAGAGTTTTGCAGCAAAAATACCCTTTAGCCTGCTTTGTCATCTGCTATTATTATGTGTTGAGTTTATTATCATAGACCGAACAAAGTTTAGATGTTATAAAAGAAAATTGTACCAAAGTAAAAAAGAAGAATGAGATCTTTTTAGCTCAAGGATCCTATAGAATATTGTAAATTAGATTTTTTTATAAGGATGTTAGGGTGATAAGCCTTATTAGTCACTGATATCTATGAGAAAGTAAAAGAGATAATTTCACTGTTCAAGTGAATTTTATCCGTCTTCAAAACAGATTTATGTAATACTCTAGTTTTTATTACTCATGATATCATAAGAAAAAAATTGATGAAATGTCTGATAAGTGACATCTCTGCTGAGATGAAAATTAGTTGCTTTGCTTGTGAGAACTGATTTTTGTGTGTAGGAATACTGGCCTGTTTCTTTGTTTATTTCGTTTTCTTGTTGCTTTCTTATCCTTTGACCTTTGAATGTAACTTGAACATGACAAAAGTTAGTGTTATATGAGTTCGCCAAAGAAAAAGCCTCATCACCCTCTTTCCTAGGGTGCTTTATGTCAATGTCAATCTTTGTTGAGACTGATGAGGAAATTACCATTTGTATTTCCCTAAATTTGTCCTTTTCTTAACTAGTTCAGATTTATGTATTCCATTAAGTTTCTTCAAAGAAGTGGGCACTGAGCTACCACACTTGAAAACTGAAAGCTTATTAATGTCCAAGATTTCATTCCTTTTTTCAGTTCACCATTCTAAAAAGTAAAAATTTATATTCCAGCTTTTTCATTTTCCTTTTAGTCCTGTGGATTCAAACATTTTCTCATTTGATTTCTGCTTGATATCTCTTTTTTATTCTCTTCTCATTGCTTCTTCAATGTTTATTGCAGAAAATTGAGAAGGAAGTGCTTGAAGAGGTTAAGACTATGGAAGAAGAGAGTGTAACCCCTACTAAAGAGAATGGAACAAAACCAATAGAAGAGGATTCCCCTAGTCCACTGGTTTCTTCTACTGAATCAGTGGAAAAAATAGAGGACACAAAAAGCGAAGCTCCAGTAATTGAAGAGCCAAAGAAGGATAGCGAGGAAGAAAAGCCGAAAGCTGAGGAACCAGGCTCAACTATAGCTGAAGAAGTACAGAAAGCTGATGAAGGAGAGAAGCCAACAATAGAGGAGCAACCAGCAACCATTATTGAAGAATTAAAGGAGGAAGAAAAGCCTAAAGCTGATGAACCAATTTCAGTAATAGTCCAAGAAGTAAAGAAAGCTGATGAGGAGCCAACAATAGAGGAACCACCACCAACCATCCTTGAAGAGGTAAAGAAAAGTGATGAGGAAGAGAAGCCAATAGTTGATGAGCCATCGCCCCCGGCAATTGAAGAGGTAAAGAAAGCTGATGAGTACCAGAAGCCTAAAGCTGATGAAATATCGCCACCTCCGCCCACAACTGACGAGGAGGAGAAACCAAAAGCTGAGAAACTGGCAAGCACACCTGCTACTTCAGCAGAATCAGAAGAAAAGACCGCAGACAAGGAAATTAAGCCTCCAACTATTGAAGAAGTTAAGAAACTAGATGAGGCGCCTGCATTGGATGTTACTAGCAAAGATATTCCAGAATTATCCAAGGAACCTGCCCCTGAACCAGAAGCTCAAAGTATTCCTGAGCAAGTTGTTGATGTTACCAAAGGTGAACTAGAGGTGCAACCAGGGGCTGAAAAGGTTGAAATTTTGGAGAAAGGATCTGAAAATGAGCCTGTCAATGAAAAGCCTGAGGAGCCGCCAACAACAGTTGACGTTGTGGAAACATCAGTTGAGGCAGTTGAGGACAAGAAGGAGCAAGCATATTTAGAGGCCAGTGAACCACAAAAAGCTGTTGTAACAGTGTCAGAAGTTCCAGCGGCAGAACCTAAGATAGAAGAAATTTCAGTAGCAGCTCCCATTGCAGAGGAAAAGCCAACTGAAGCTGCTGAAAAGATTGAGCAAGAAGCTGCTGAGGCCGTTACTGGAAAAGATGAAGCGATTCCAGTAGATAAAGTAGAAGAAGCCCCAAAAGGGGAACCTCTTCTTGCAGAGAGCTCGAAACAAGTAACTTCAACCACTTTAGGAACACTAATGCAGAAAACAGATGAGGAAGGCCCTGCTGAAGTTGCGGGAGACAATGCTGTTGTTGAGGAGAAAGAAAAGGAATCGGTTCCAGAGGCTACAGTTGCTGAAGCACCAGCAAAAGAAGAGGTAGAAAAAGTCAAAAGAGAAACAAAGGATGTGAAAACTGATGATCAAGATAAGGGAGAGAAAAGTGTTGCGACTGAGGAATTAGCTGCACCAGAAGCAAAGGTTATTGAAACATCTGAAGTTGCCGAAAAGGCCCCAGAAGTGGAGATTAGTTCCAGAGACATTGAACCAATTGCTGAAAATGGGAGCAAAAATGAAGAGAAAATTGCTGCAACTGAAGCCAATGAAGCTGCAGAAGTTGAGAAGAAAGTGGATGAGGCAACAGCTAATGCTAGTGAACCTTCAGCTGAAGAAGCTCAGAAGCCAGAGACAGAGGCAAAAGATGAGAAAATTGCTGAAGCTGAGAAAGAAGTTGAGGAGATAGCAAAAACAGAAGAAGTTCCAGTGAAGACAAAGCAATCAAGCAACCTTATGTCTAAGGTGAAGCAGTCCCTTGTAAAGGCAAAGAAAGCAATCATTGGCAAGTCCCCCAACTCCAAATCTGAATCAAAGAATGAAGTCAAAACCAAATAAGATATCAGAAGCTCTGAGATAAATATTACAATGATCCGAAGCGAGTAAATTTACTAGTGGTGTGATCTTTATTTTTCTTATTCTTAATCTTTTTCATTTTTTGGTCACCAGGGGTCAGGTATATCGCTATGTTGTCTTGTTTCGTATGATTCTAGTGTTTGCCCATAGGTATTGTATAGTTGTGCTTTGCTTTCTACTCTTCCAAACTAGAGAGAATGTTCCTTTTTATGATTTTCTTTTCATATTTGACTGTTGAGTTTGTGAGTTTGTGGAAAAACATATTCAATTGATTGGATAATGATGTACATAAAGTGTCATATTTCTATATATAGGCTTGTCCTTGTTGCTTGTCCTTATTGTTGTTTCTTATTATGGTTAAAAAGTCTTTATTCACGAGTTGTTGGTCATTGATCTGCTAATCTGTTTGCAAATACACTTGAATCTTTTGTGCTTTGCTGCTTCAAGCGAGCAAGAATGTACGGCTACAATGGGTTTGTTATTCTTTTGGTGTCTACAAAACGAAAATCTGTTGGAAACCTGATATGGTTCTTCTGAAAACTCGTTTAATCACAAGCTTCAAAAACTTCCTTTCCCTTTACAAGGCTTACAACAACAACTACTACTACTGCCTCAATCCCAAATAAGTAGGTGTCGAATGAAATATCCTCATTTCATTCTTTAAGCTCAACCCATACCACTATCATTACCAAACAAAATAAAAGTTACCTTTACAAGGCTTGCTTTCAATATTTTCACTCCATTCATGTTATTGCATAAAAGGAGAGTTAATGTCATATCCAGAGGCATACACAGAGATTTGCACTATCAGTGGCCATCTATTGTTACAGTTTGACAAGTACAATGTTTTGGACGGGGATGGTAATTCTAAACTGCTTTACACTGATGTTCACTTCGCAATATTTTCAAGTGGTGTCGACATATAGTATTTACATGTTATTTTTAAAGTACATATTATTTTTAAAGCGGGGTCAAATGATACTACTTGATTCTAATAAGTGTCTCTGCTACTGGTCATATCCATTTTTGGAAACAAAAGGATAGGCAAAGAGAATCCACCATATAAAAGTAGAAAGAAGGGAGGAGGAGACAACACGTCTTCTCCTTAATTTTCATCACAGAAAATTAATTGAATCAAAAGTGGAACAACAACTGGGACATGTAGCTTCATGTACAATAAATTCACCAGTATTGGCAATCAAGCTGGATTGATGACGTGAAAAGGACTGCTCCTGTATACTCCTTCTCATCAGTGACTATCACCTTTCAAAATCTTATAACCAACTTTCAATATTCAAAACTTGTATGATGTATCATCGCTCAACCATGGAATCGGTTAAGACAAAGTCAATAATACACATTAAATTGGTAATTGTTCACGTTGATGGAGCGGGGACATTAAAAACACTGCACTAAAAACTTTCTTTTCATAATCTTTCCCTTGTTTCAAAAGTTTTTGAGTTGTTTCATAGAGAATCAAGAACGTGAGCAGGACGATAAAAGCCATCAGCATTGCTTTTTTAAATAACAGTATTGTCCAAACCAACTTGCACCATCTCAACTATTCCATGTATCGAATAACTCTGTCTATCAAGGACTAGGCATATGCCAAGAATTCGTCCAAAATGCTTTTTTTGATTTTCCCTTCTTCCTATAAAAGCCTCCTCATATCCTAAACTAACAGGGACATAATTAGTTGGGAAGAGAAGAGGGTTAAAATTTTCAAAAAATGCTTCATATTACTGCACCTATTCTGCTTGGAGAAAAATACCAAATATTGAAAAGTACAGATGAATAAATGAGAACTGGCTTGCGCTTTCTTATTATTAGAGCACATGTTGATATGTCTGGTACACATGACATAACACAGTTGAGATGCCAAATACATGATCCTTCATGGGGAGGGTGGGAAGAAGTATGCTCCAACTGCTTTTAGATATCTTGGATGTACATTTGAAGGAGAAAATTATGGTCTCTCTTTACATTACCAAAATCTGTGCATTCGTCGTGTATGTTGATGCTACATTCCGATGGTAGTTGCAAAAACCAGCATGGAACTCTACCAGTTAACAACAATTCGATTTCAGAACTGCATACTGGTCGGATTTAAACGGGGCAACCTTCCGCTGATTGAGAAAATGACCTCTTCCATAAGATGAACAATCCACGGTCAGTGATCAGAACATAAAGTTGTGTCTACAGACTGGAACCTGGATAAAAGACTCAGATCGTTCAGTGAAATACTCTATCTTCCAGGTCGCATACCCAAAAGCGAGGAATATACGTACAACAAATGGTGTTTTGGCAGAGATTCGCAATATAAACTTCACTTTCACATCTTATCATAAGGAATGAAGTTGCTCCTCACTACATTAGAGTCACTGATCAAACTGAATGTCACAGAGTTTTTTCTAATACAAACTCACCAGCTTCACTTCCAGGCACATCTGTTTGGTTGGTCAAGTTATTAGCTGCACTACCAGTAACATCAAGGAGTTGATCATTTTTTTGCACCAAAGCTGATTTGTCCAGAATTTCATTTGCTGCTTGCACCTGATATAGCAGGAAAGAGAACTGATTAAGACTATGCAGTGCTGATGTTATATGACTGACAAGGAAAACTTTTAGCTCGCCATGAGTTAAAGCAAAATATACCAAGGGTCAGTAATATTTCTGGGCCATGACTGCAAGCAATTATTGTGTTAGACGAATTTGCACTTGGCCCAGGAATCAGGATAATACAGGAGCATTTTTACAGTATTAGTAATTGACCCTCAGCTTAGGGACAGAAGCAGAAGGAAAATAAGTCAATTTAAATGGCAACTACCATGGAATATCATGAACCTACCATGGAACCAGAAAATTCAAAGTGTCTCCAAGTGTGTGCTAGTAAGCCAGTAATAACCATGAAGAAACTCAAAGCATTTGCCTAAGTCACCAACTAGATACCAAGCTATTCGCCATGGAATTTGAGAAATATCTAACAGCACTAGGAACCAACAGCAGCATGTGTGACCCAAGAAGAATTCTGAGTTGCTCCTGAATATTGAAGTTTGAACAAGCTGGCACACCTAGAGGTCCCTTGACATTAGGTGCATCCCTAGTCTCCCTAACAAGCTTCCTACGAGGTATCAGCCTTTTTCAAAATCAGCATTAGTCTTCATATGTAACATCCTCCTAATTACAGCTATACAGAACTGTGCAGCAGTTGTGACATAATGGCAAATGAAGCCAGAAATGGAAAACCTTTCTATAGATTCCACCTTTATACTTCTCTATTTCGTAATAGATAATTGGCCATTTCATGTAGAAGAAAAAGAAGACAAGACAGTTATGAGTTGCATCCTATATATCTTCAATTACATTTAATATTTCTTCCGTTTATTCTCCTCTCAACAGAAAAATCTCACCAAATATATGCAGCATGACTCCTCAATAATAAACACCCTCTCTCTCCCCACTTCCACTGATTGTTCATAAACATGAATCTTTATCTACAGAATAATGCTATGTGTCTGCATCCATTTATACATATCATCACTACACACAAAGAGACTATATAGGAATCAGTAACTTCTATTCTCCAGCAAACAGAGTTTATAGTGCTTGTTTTCTTTCATTTCGTACTCTTCTTTTTTTCTCCTTTTCAATAGATAGAACATGATAAGTCCTTGATAAAAATACACACCTGACTGCATGTCTGATTTATTGGGAGGCTAGATTCAGCATCACGGACTATCCGTGAGTTCTTCTTGTGTACTGGATTTTTGGAATCCAAAATTGGTGGTACACTCGGTCTGTCCACTGAAACTCCTACCCTTGCAGCGTTCAAAGGGACAGCAGCACCAGTTGATGATTGCCCTGCCAAAGGAGCCAAAGATGGTCGTGGGATTGGCATGGGAAGTCCTTGACCAGGATGTGCAAAGGCATGACGACTAGATACAGCTATTCCTGGATAAGCAGCAGTGGCAGGAATTGGAGGTGACGGAAAATGAGATCCTTGAACAGAGGGGATTGGAAAAACAGGGCAGCCAGACGATCTACCATTCATGTCAAGCATACCCATTCCATAGCCCATCCCCATTCCCATACCCATCCCTAAACCCATTGGAGAGAAATGTGGCATTTGGGCAGCATGCATGTGCTGCACTCCAGCAGGAAACATCATTGGTGGGACACAAAACCCTGCTCCCATAGACATTATCTGCAAAAAAGGGGATGAACCAATTAGCAATTGTAGTTATGACTCTAATTCTCAGTTCTTAAAAAAAGCATAGAAAACCATCATCTAACCTGTACTTGCAGTTGAAGTGTCTTCAAATACTCAATAGCTTCATCAAGCATTGAAGCTTTATCCGCCTAGCAATCAATAAGGAAAGCCATCAAAATTATTGAAAATGAGAAACTACAGGAGGAGTTAGGATACAATAAGGTTGGGTGATGGTTACTTTTAAGATTACCAGCAACACTTCATCAAACCGTGTCAGTTAAAGCAACTTGAAATATATGAGTGAAATACCAGCAAAATCTTACTCTAGCTTATGCATTGAGCTCAAATAAGTTACTGACATTTTCTGAGTTTTTAACTAACTTAAAGTTGATTGCTTGATGAAGTATGGTAGAAAAAGAATAGACAAATTTTTTTTCATATAGAGAAAGGTGATAGGAGCTAGCACTAAGTAAGTGTTGTAGTAATTACAAGTGCGCAAAACACCAAAAGACAAAATCCCTTTCCAATCTTACAGGGATTACAAAAAAGGAACAGACAAAATCACATAAATCAACTTCTCAGCATGACTTTAACTTATCCAAAGACTTTTTGTACCTTATTGCAGTTGGGTATTAGTTCCTGTAATGCACGCATCTTTTCATTAATCCTATCCCTTCGCCTCTGTTTGCAGAAAATGAATCAGAATGCATTTATATCTAAATCATCTTAAGAAGATTTACGACCTCAAAATGCAAAAGGCACAGATGATGTGTTAATGGTCAGCTCACCCGCTCAGACAAATTATGCACCTCTGCAGCTCGGCTTCTCTTTGAACCTGTACCTCCTCGAGTAGGGCATGTTTTTTTTATACCAACAGATTCTTCTTCAACATCCTGAACAGAAGATATTTCCTTGTCAGACTCAACATCTTAACAAAGATGTAACATACTACAAAACGATGTTAAAAGTAATGGCCTTTAAGTAATAAACTTACTTCACTTGGACACCCGGAATCCTCATTATCTCGGGTTTTCCTCTTTAGATTATGAGGCTGATCACTTGATCCTCTCTCTGCACTGCTACCAGAGCATACAGATGAGCAAACAACCCCATGTTCAACATTTCTCTCACCATCAGCTGTATCTGTCGTTGCCTTTGCACCAGTAAACTGACCAGGGGTGTTGGCACTATTACTCGAACGATCTCTGAACACATTATCAGACTGTTCAACACGACATGATCTATCATGAAAGCTATCCCCAGATGCTCTTGACTCGAGTTGGGAAGGTACCACATTAGTTGGATAATGGAGGTCATTTTCCTTCTTGGAACTTAAATAGTCTTCAACTGCTGCAGCATTTACATTATTGTGGCTATTTGTCACATTTTCTCCTTCTTTACTCCCCTTTGCTTCTACGGTATATGAATCTGAGACATTCGGACCCCCAGTAATATTTTGAAGCTTCGCTGCTTTAACAAATGTAGCAGGTCTTGAGAAATGTGAAAAGTTCGGCAAACTGGAGCAACTTCCAGACATATTTTGCTTTTGGATTTTAATGCTTTTGACCTCACCAGCTGCAGCTTGATTTTGACCTGAATCCCCATACACAGACACTGGAGTATTGCTAATTTTACTGCTAAAGACATCTGAAACTCCTGATTCTAGATGACCTTTCTGAGGTGCCAATGAACATAACAGGCTAAATTTGGAAGAAGGAGAAACCTTTCTTTGCTCAAAATTACCAGCATTATGAATAGGAACACTATGTGAATCCCTAATCATCTTATCGGAACTACCTCTCTTATTTATTAAACCAAATTCACTCTGTCTGGATGGTTCATTTGCCGTCAAACCAGATATTTCAGGCAAAAACTGAGAACAATAATCTTGTTGAAGACTATCATCTGCTGCATAACCTAACCAAGGCACCCCTTCATCCTCTTGAATCAAATCCAGTTCATCAGTGGGCACAGATAATGGCATATCATTCAACATAGAGTCCATCACACCAAACTTCCCAATCTTTGAGACATTTGATGGAAGTTTATTAGGAATAGGGTTCTTCTTAGCACTACTGGACTGGCCTTGCATCATAATCTGACCATTTTCCCATACAAGCTCAACCAAGTCATTCTCAGGACTGCATAAATACCAAGAAAATTTCTCAAAACATAGCAAACAACCAACTAGCTAAATATTAAATCAACTGGTTCCAATCAAAGGCATAAAACAAAATGCAAAAATGGAAACAGTACTCACAAAGAAGAGAGATGAGTTGTAGATGAGATTCTCTGTTGGCCAGATTCAAGCTTCCCTCTAGCCATTTTCAAAAACTCAGAGAGAGGCATGGTGGAGAGGTGTGTGATAACTGCTAACTCAGAATTGCTCTAACTTTGGGCACTCTGACATTTTTAGGAAATCTTCCACACCTAGTCCAGTAGCATTTTTTTTTTTCCAGCAAAAATCCAAACATTTTAGAATTCTCAAGCATATAACACTGAAAACCAAAAACTGTTTCCATAAACTAATGTCCTAATCAGTAAAATTATATAAAACCCATAACAGTAGTAAGGATATAAATAATTAAGTTATCAGTCAAAGTCCCAATTGTTTAATGGGGTTTCATAAGATACTTTAAAATAATAAAGCAACCAACTTGAGATTTCTTTGAGTTAAAAGTTCAATCTTTTTATTCAATTTCAATCATTAGAGTACAAACCCCTTCAAGATTTCTATTAATTAACAACCCACAATTATTTATACACTAATATAAAAAATTACTAGTTAATTTAAAACAAAACCCACCTCTTCAAAACACACGAAAATTAACACTCAGCTCCAAGATCAGCTCTCATCCAAATGAAAAAAGCACCAAACTTTATGCAAGAAAATCTCAGTCTTGAACTAAGTATTATTTACTTCAAAGATAACTTCTTTTATTCTTGAAAGTACCAATATTTGGGTCTCCACATGCTCAGCCTAGCTTTCCAAAAAAGTACAAATCTTCACAGCTAAACTCCCACTTGGGTTTTTAAGCTCCAAGAAAAACAACTGTACTTCTCGAAAATGTAAAGAAGATTTAGAGAGAGAGAGAGAGAGAGAGAGAGAGAGAGAGAGAGGAGGGATAAATAAAGAAAAGAAAGTAATCAGTTAAAAAGATTGCAAAGAGAGGGTATTGGGTAGTAGTAGAAGGCGGCGAAAGACTTGGGAATTTGCAGGTGGCCGAGGTATGAAGGCACTCTCCACAGTAAATATTTTTGAACAGAAATAAAGCACAGGAAGAATGTAGAGTACTCGCTTTTTTAGCTTAAACAGAGAGCATACGCTTCCAAATCTGTCGTGTTTTTAACCATGGTTAAGAAAAAGTACACTTAATAACTTAACCACAGTCATATTTATCCTTTTGGAGTAGTTGTTGGAGTACTATTGTCGGGTTTGTAGTATGATTAATTTTGTGTTTATTTTACGTGGATGGAGACCGTTGGTCTGATCAAACGGTTGCTTATAACCTCTCATTACATCAACGTTATTTCATAGTCAGCACTTGTTTTTTCTTTTTCCTTTTTTTTTTCCTTCTTTGTGATAAAAATGGAGAACTTTTCAATTTTGTTGAAATGAACTACAAGAAATTCTCTGTTTTTCCAATTTCAGTTCAGTAAATATATGGTTCAACCAAAGCAATAATAAGCTCGATTTGGTCAGAATTCTTACGACCAACGTTGTTGGTACGTTGACCATCATTTCATTAACCTTTTTCTAGATAACATAACATAAATTATGTGAAAGTCTAGTATAATAAATGTGCTTACCTCAATTAGAAGGAAAAAACACTTAGACCTCAATATTGCTACTGAAATAGGTTCTTATTCGGTGATGTACTCGTTATAATACTTTGGTTACTTTAATCTAGGTCCTCATAATAGCACTATACAAAAAATCGAATATATACGTATATATATATGTAGTGTTGTCATCTCTATCAAGGAATACCTACTATGATCGTAGAATATAAATAAACTATACACATAAAAGCTTAATAAAATGAAAAGAGATTCTATATATAATAGTAATGTTTTTATCTTTATTAAAATTTAAACCGGGAAGTTACTGAATGAAAGACGATGAAGTCTTACTTTTTGTTTTTCATAACGAATATTCCCCTTTCCAACAATCTGTTGCTATATTTTGAGAGTCTTAAACTCCATTACGTTGTTCTTTCTTTTAATGTGATCTCGTTTCTTATTTTTGTACCAATCATTTTCTCCTTCTCATTATTACAGAGAAGGGGAGGTGATGAAATCCACTCGAAACAAAACAAAGGTTTGTTATAGCTAACCTCAAAACTGCAGGCGAAATTAAATCCTAGGCATGCATTGTAGTCTTTTTCCTGAATTTGAATTCAATATTTCATAGTTGAAAGAGAGATTTTTTTCGTACGATTCACATTTATTTTACTTATTACTTTATTTATATTTTGAGTCGATTGGTCGTAAGTCATATAAAGTAGTAGTTAGATAAGGTGAGAGGGACACTATGTCTGTTTTCTGTGCATCTTGAAAAACATATCATACTCGGAGTATTTAATATTATTATCCCTTAAAGATGCTCCTTATATATTTCCATTTGATTAATTTACTGTTTTATCATTCTAACAATTTTGGGAAAAAATATTATAACTCCTATATAGTAGTATAGTACTACAGTAAAGTAATACTTTAAGCTGAGTATTGCATCATTAATAAGCCTTTATTAATATAGGTATTGACCACACCAAGTGGCCTTTATTAATTCTACTTCCCCCTCGTTCTTGGGAAGACTATTGTTACACGGGGTTTTGTATAATGTGAGTTCAAGTTCCTAGCCTTGGATATGGTAACAATTTTGGACAAAGCTCTCATAAGTAGTCCCAAATTATAGGATAAAGTATAATAATTAATCACCAAGTATACTTGGAAATCATGATATTCATTATTGATTTGTTTCTTACAGGTAATGTAAATATTTTCACATAAAATAAAATAGTGTGCTTTTCTCGTTTTGATGAAGGATAGATATATATATTGGAATGATTCTCTTGCAAGTACGAAAACCTGTTTATTTTTTTAATTTTTTCATGATTTTTGTTTTCATGAGAAACCTTTTTATAGCTTACCGAGCAATTTTTTCACCTATTAAATTTCAAAAACTTTTCTAGTCTTTGGTTTATTTCATTACGTTTTGCACTTTTCTCTCTTGGACGAGGGAAAAATATCAAATTCGACTATTCTTTTTTCCCATTTTTTTTCTCAACGTATATAAATGACGACATGCATATTTTTACTTTGCTAGTTTTATATATATACTGTCAAAAGTAACCTAGATCTGCCACGGCAATGGAGGCAAGGTCTAGGAGAAGAAAAGACAAAATGTAAAGTGAGAGACAAATGATCGTAGAGAGACAAAAATATGAATTGTATTTCTTATCTTGTGTCTACAGTGTACAAAATGTATCTGATATATACAAGTTATATCAATATGTCTTAACTAGCCAACTAATAGATGTATCTAGAAGAATATATTTTAAATAACACAATGTACAAGATGCCTCAACTTCATTTTATATCTCTACACTCTCCCTCAAGTTGAGAATGAAAAATATTTTTCATTCCCAACTTGGACAACAAAAAAGCATGTTGATGATGCCGAAGTGGCTTTGCTTGATATGTGAGAGGTCTCAATCAGCCCCTCTTGTATCTTCTCTCTTATGAAGTGGCAATCTATTTCTATGTGTTTTGTTCTCTCATGATACATAGGATTTGCTGCAATTTGTAATGCAGATTTGTTGTCACAAAACAACTTCATTGGCAACTGCACATCCGTTCTTAACTCTTTCAGCAAACCATTGAGCCAAACCAGCTCTGCCAATGTGTGTGTCATGCTTCTATATTCTGCTTCAGTAGAACTTCTAGAGATAATACTCTGTTTCTTAGCCTTCCAAGAGATCAATGAATGTCCTAGCTTAATACAGTAGCCATTCACAGATTTCTTTGACATGGGACATGATGCACAATCAAAGTCACAGTAAGCTTCAATCTGATGTGTCCCTTTGCTTGACATGAGGATTCCTAGACCTGGCTGTCTTTTTATGTACCTAACGATGTGTAGAGCTGCCTCATAATGAGATCTCTTGGGTGCATACATAAACTGACTTAGACATTGAATTGCATAAGAGATGTATGGTCTGCTTATTGCGAGGTACAAAAGTTTTCCAATTAACCTTTGGAAACTCCCCTTGTCTTCTGGTACTTCATCTGAGGTGCCAACATTGATACTTTCATCAAATTCTATACTTGTAATCTTTATATTTTGCTCCATAGGTATATCTTTAGGCTGTGAGCCTGCTAGTCCCACATCTGAGATCATTTTAAGTGCATATTTCCTTTGTGACATCAGTATTTCCTCAGTAGACCTTGCAAATTCTATTCCTAGAAAGTATCTCAACTCCCCTAGGTCTTTTAACTTGAACTTCTGGTGTAATGCAACCTATGCATTCTGAATCTCCTTTAGACAAGTAAGTCATCTACATATACCAACACAAATACAAACTTATTTTTGTCAGCCTTGGTAAACAATGAATAATCATGTTTGCCTTGAGCAAAACCAGAATCTAAGAAAGCTTGAATTAGTTTTAAATTCCATTGCCTAGATGCCTGTTTTAAACCATATAAGGATTTTAGTAGCCTACATACTCTATGCTCCCGCTGGCTACTAAAGCCTTGGGGGGAGGGACATGTACACCTCTTCCTCAAGGTCACCATTGAGGAAGGCATTATGAACATCCATTTGAAAAATAGGCCAGCCCTTAAGGGCTGCAGTAGCAACTACAGTCCTTACAGTAGTTAACTTGGCCACAAGGGAGAAGGTGTCATGGAAATCCAGACCATCTTGTTGTGTGCAGCCTTTAGCAACTAGTCTCACTTTGAACCTCTCTACTGAACTATCTGCATTATACTTAATCTTATACACTTATTTGCAACCAATTGGGACCTTACCAGCAGGTAGATTTACTACTTCCCATGTGTGGTTTTGCTCTAGAGCCTCAATTTTCAATTGCATGGGTTTAATCGACCTAGCATCTTTACTAGCTTGAGAGAAAAAAGAGGGTTCAGTGTCTAAAGAAAAAGAAGCAAGGAATGACTGAAAGTGTGAAGGTAGATGGGAGTAAAAAACAAATTTTTGAATGGTATAAGAAGAGGAAGAAGAAGAAGTGGTTGGTAAGGGGGGATGTACATAATAAGTCAACCAAATAAAAGGTCTGGTTACCCTTCCTGGCCTTCTAGGTTGATTAGGAGTGGTGATTATAGGTGTAACAGAGGTAGGAAAAGGGGCAGAAGAGGTTGGCAGATGTTCAGAGGAGATAGCAGGTGATGATGAATCAGGGGAGATAGGTGTAGACTCAATTGAAGGAGCTGAATCAAAGGAAGGTTCAGGTATAGGATTAAGAAGGGGCTCAAGATAAAAAAGAGCATGAGAAGGAAGGAAATGAGACATGGAAAACTTGAAAGAAAAAATGTGTTCTTTGAACACAACATCCCTGTTGACAAAATATTTTCCAGACTCAATGTCATAGAGTCTGTAACCCTTTTGATTTAAGGAATAACCCATGAAAATAGCAGGCCAAGACTTGGCAGAAAACTTATCACTATAGTGAGGTCTTGTGGCATAACACAAACATCCTAAAGTTCTCATATGATGTAGACTAGGAGGATGACCATGGAACAACTCATAAGGAGTCTTTCCATTCAAAACACTACTAGGTAATCTATTAATGATATAGGTGGTTGCAAGAATACACTCACCCCAGTATTTTAAAGGAATGTGGGCTTGAAATCTCAAGGCTCTACTAACTTCAAGAAGGTGTCTATGTTTCCTTTCCACTACCTCATTCTGTTGAGGGGTGTGGACACAACTACTTTGATGTATAATTCCTTTGGATTTAAAAAGAGTTGAACAAAGTGTATTAAAGAATCTAATTGTCTGATCGAAAGGTCTTAACACTATAAGAAAATTGGTTTTCAATCAGTTGAAGGAAATCATTCAGAACAACAAATACATCACTTTTGACTCTTAATAAGAAGGTCCAAGTCATTCTAGAGTAATCATCAACGAGTGTAAGAAAGTATCTGAAGCCACAATGAGTATAGACTCTATATGAACCCCAAACATCCATATGTACCAATTCAAATGCATAAGTAGACTTAGAAGTACTAGTAGGAAATGGTAACCTAGTTTGTTTAG